TATATATATATTGTACTATACATTGAAATTTCTTAGCTTATATATTGATTGAAGGTATCTACATCACATGGCTGATAAATTGTTGCGACAAATATCATACACAATTGATTTTTCAAACAAGCACAAACCGAAACCTATCCATACCTTTTTTTGGGTTACTTGACTAATAAATGCATAGAAGACTTACGGTTTGTGGGGCATTCCGTATTTTTGTCAAAGCAGAGACCATTCCTTCCATCTCGCCGTCTCTGCCGAGACCATAGAGAACCAAGTGGCACCCCGTCAGCTTCTTCTCAGCTGTTTTAAGTGATTCCATGGTGACTACTATAAAAATATTTCAAACTTACTCCAGAACTCTGGCTAGTACCCCGTTCCTTCTAGCGAGACGATAGTGTATATGTATACAGCAACATATATATATCTAAAATATGTAAGCTCTGAACACACCTGTGGCTGCCTTCTGTGTACCTAGTTCTGTATATTGTCTCTATTATTTTTCCACAAGAGCCGTGAGGTTGACTTCTTGCTAGAGTATGTAAATAGGTCGAGAGTTTGTTTACCAGAACCAGGTGCTCAGTGACGTCATCAGATTTTGATATCAGTTTCCATATCCGGTGTTACCCGTTAATTAAATACCGGCCTCAGTACGTTTTCCGTTATTTAGGTAAATACGTACTTAGTAATACTCTAGAGTACTACGGGACTGAATGTGCGATGTTTAAAACTAATTAACGACATGACTGGGGAATGAACTTTCCATCCTCATCATGTTCGTCATTATGGTTCATACAAAAAATATATATATATATATATATGTGATGTAATGAGTTTACATAGGTATGTAGACTGTAGCCCTTATCATCATGTGAATAGGTTGTGTTTATAGGATTCCTATGATAGTTCGTTAGCGATCTCTAGGGTTCTAGTAGTTACTTAATGGCAACATCGCTCAAGTGTTCGCTTACTTCGTTATACAGTAACGGGGCCTCATTTTCCTGTGAATACTACTATACACATATTTATCGATATACCTGTATACATACATATCCACATACTTCGAAATACTTGACATACCTATCCAAATACCTCGAATCACCTGCTTAGTTCAAGTAGTATTCAACTGAACCAACATGTCTCGGATATCATGCGTTCGCAGATTGTCGGCTATAAATAGATTAGTCGAGTGGAGGAGAGGGTTGCCAGTCATGTCAATGCCTATGAGAGTGTTGTCTACACAAGCACAAGACCTTATGATGTACGCCGATGGATTCAAAGTCGATGAGCCCTCCGAGAAGGGAAGAAAGCAACTACGTACGTCTACATTCAACTATGAATTCCCGAGTGATGAGTCTCATATGTATACATCAGCAGTGTCCTTGCTTAGTTTCTACTCGGGTGCACATTTGCTTATTTGCGCGTGTATGGGTTCTATCTCAGCTTTCTTTTGTTCTTGACTTTATCTACTCGTCTGTGTGCACAACGTGTCCATGCGAGTTTGGGGTCCAATAAGGCCTGTGTGTGGTAGCTACTAGTCTTTATGCGACACATGCATGGTTGTTGCGTTCAAACGAAAACAAAAGCTGTATCGCTCATAAAATCACATTTAGCCACGGCAGTTTAGTAACGTGCTGTGCACGTGGCTGTTTCCATTAAAATATGTGGGGTTGCTACTTCTAATTTACCTCTCTCTCTCTAGTTACATATCATGTCTGCGTGGGCTTTTATCGGTTTCTGTAAATAGGACTATTTCGTAGTGTCGTTTGTCCAGAATGCATCTCTCTTGCTGTGTCTGTTTGAGTTGTTGGTAGCACGTGTCTGTGTTCTACGTATTGGGCTGCAATCCAACACATCCCCGAGCATTGGTTGTTAATACGGAGCTTATTGTTTATACCATGTATATTCTACGTATATATGCATGTATACTTATCTCAGTGTTATTTCTGTATATTCCACCTTTGTAGCACCCACCGTACCGTATGCCGAGGACGCAGGCCGGGCGCAAGTAGAGCAGTTGACTGAATTCATTCGCAGTAAGAAGAAGCTGGTCGTGCTGACTGGCGCCGGTACGTATGAAGAAGAGTGATAGATGAACAATTCTCTTTTATATACAGCCTTGGACCTGTCTGTTATGTATTTTATGGTACTGTATCGTAGTCGTCTGTTTATTCGCACCATTTTGCTTTGCACATACACACACCAATCATACCATGCATACGCTCGTATATTTTTATATGTGGAGGTGTGTAATCTCACGCTGAGACTTAGGCTTATATGTTGGAACTGACACACCCAGTTATACAACTAAATATTGCACATACGTACATATATATGTATATTTATATGTATACATGTATGTATGTATGCAAGCTTGTATGCATGTATGTATGTACATATATATATATATATATATATATATATATATATATATATATATATATATATA